CTTGTTCATGAAGTTGTCAATCTTACTCAGGTCACATCCTAGAGAGCAGGTTGACCAGTAGCTCATCAGCACCAGGATCATCAGGAAACCACAGGGTCTGGCCATTGTGGATGTTGCAGGTGCTGCTGGTCCTGTTGGCTGTGTGATTCTCAACCTTCCCCTCTAGGTTCTATGAAGACCATCATTCCTTCAGGACTTATATAGGGAAAAATTAGTTTTCGTTTTCTGAATGCCCGCCCCTACATCCGACTTGTCTTTTCACTTTCTTGAGCTCATCCTCTGCTTGTGTCTAGACACTTTTTTCTAAACCATTTTGGTTTTCATCTTTGTTTCCTCTTTCACCGCTGCCCTCAGAAAGCTGTTGTTTCCAGCACTTTTCTGTTTCTCAATGCTTTGTCATTAACGGTTACCACACAGATGATCATGCCTTGTTTGAAACTTACTCTATTTTATCTAATTTAAAGATAAAGTTCCTCCCCAAATTTTATTTAAAAGTTATTTAAATTGATTTTACATTGGGTTTTCTTTATATTATTTAAATAAATACTTATATCATATGTAAGGTGTGATGCGAATTATTTCTAAATTAAAAGTATCGATGTAATGGTACACTTCAAATGCCTTCATTAACTCTAATATTGATTTACATAAGATGTTCATTGCATCATTAGTGTTTCTTCGCTATTCTTCCAGTAATTGTCATGCCATCATGAGGTATCCAGGTGCAAAGCCTTGCTGTTCAAGCTTGATACGCTGAGTCCAGGGTTGAAAGAGAGAAACAAACTCTCCTAAGTCGGACTCCAATGAGCACATTCACACATGGTAAGTGCTTGTGTCTACACACACACACACACACACACACACACACACACACAATGCATGCATACATACAAAACCCTCACACCACTACATAAAACACACTCACATAAGTACACATTTACCTCCTCAAAAATGTACTTACCTACACATTTACAACTTCACACATGTAAACACAAAACCACACACTCAAACACAAACATAAATTCACACACACACTCACACAGTGGTGCACACACACCTGTGGGCACACTCACAGACATGCTCTCTGTCACACACATACACACATCTATTCACAATGCTCACACACACACACACACTCCCGATAATACAGAGGAGTAATAAGAGTAATAACATCTCAAAACAAAAACTTTCATTTGTCACACTTGAGATCCTTACCTTTATGGATTTATTCACCCCATGAGGCTGGATGTCTTACGTGGTCTTCCTAACGTGCTGGGGTCCAGAGGAAGTGGGCTTTAATGACAGTGAAGGAAAGGGCTTGCAATCGAGGTCAGAGCAAACAGGCAAAGTTCAAAAGCTTTCTTCTTTCACGTCCTCTATGGGTTCCAGCAGAAGGTGTGCCTCAGCATATAGGTGGTTCTTCCTATCTCAAAGGATCTGGGTTAAAGGTGAGTGGTCCCACCTCAAATATCCAGATAAACGGTGTGCCTTCCCCTCCAAAGTCTTGCTTAGAAGTGGCACTTCCCACTTCGACTCAAGAAAAATCCCTCACAGGAATCTTAGTTTTGAGGTGTTTACTTCTTATTACTCTTGTGTATGACTGGGTGCGTGTGTGCGCACACACAAGCATTGTTTATAGGTGTGTGTGTGTGAGATCGAGAGAGAGAGAAAGAGCATGTATGTAAGTGTAGATGTTTGTTCACTAGCATGTGAGTGGGTGCACATGTGTGTACATATGTGTGGAAATGTATGTGTGTTTGAGTGTGGGGGGGATGTACATGTGAGAATGTGTAAATGTGCATGTGAGTGCACTTTTGTGGGGGGATGTATACTTATGTGGGGGGAGTGTGTGTGTATATGTGTGTGTGCTTATGTGAATGTGAATGTGCATTTTTGTGTGTGATGCAGTATGTGTCTATATGCAGATATGCTGGAGTGTGGGTGTGTGTGTTAGGTGTGGAGTATGCATGTTTGTGTGTATGTATGTGTGAGAGTGTGTACATATATGTGTGTGTTTGAGTGTGTGTGAGTGTGTGTGTGAGCAGCCTCAAGATGGCCACATCATGAACGTGGTGGGCAGAGGACAAACTACAGGGCTCAGATCGCTGCTTTAACCACGGGTTCCAGGAATCAAACTCAGCTCATCAAACTTGGACAGCAAACCTTCACATATTGAAACCTCATGATGGCATTGCAATCATTGAATAAATAGCCAATATACAGTAATGAATAAATCAAACATACATATTAATCAGTATTAAAGTTAATAAGGGCAATTTGAAAAAATATTTTTTTTCTCTAAAACATTGGAAAAACTTAGTGTCCCATTACATTAATATGATAAATTTAGAAACCGCAAATTTGCATCATACGTTAAATTATAATTTAAAAGTATATATTTGATATAAATAACAAGAGAAAACTTAATTACAAACTGAATTTCAAAATCTTTTTATGACAAGTATTAGAAGAAATTTATCATTGAATATTGTGTGTAAATATCAAAAGTTGAATGAATATGTGTAGTTAATAGTTAATGACAATTTTACTCAGGGCAAGAAAACCTCTGATAGAGATTTGTTTAGGAGAGCAATGAAAGAGGAAGCAGTAACGAAAATAAAAATGGTTGAGATAAATGCCCAGACACAGCTGAGAACGAATGAAGAAAAGCGAAAAGAGAATTGTGGAGAAGGGGAGGGCATTCAGAAAGTGGAAACTAGTGTTTGCCCTACTTAAGACAGATGCACAAATGATGATCTTCAGAGAACCTACAGGAGAAGGTTCAGGACCAGCAGCATCTGCAACATCCACAATGGCCAGACCCTGGGCTTTCCTGATGGCTCTGGTGGTGATGAGCTACTGGTCAACCTACTCTCTAGGGTGTAACCTGCCTCAGAAACATCACCTCAGGAACAAGGACATCTTGACAATCCTGAAACAAATGAGGAGACTCTCCCCTTTCTCCTGCTTGAAGGACAGAAAGGACTTTGCATTCCCTCTGGAAAACGTGGATGCCCAGCAGATCCAGAAGGCTCAAGCCATCCCTGTCCTGCAGGTGCTGATCCAGAAGGTCTTCATCCTATTCAACTCAGAGAACTCATCTGTTGCTTGGGAGACAACCCTCCTAAACACATTCTGTGAAGACATCAATACACAGGTCAAGGAACTGCAGGCCTGTCTGATGCAGCAGGTAGGGGTGCAGGAAACTCTCCTGAGGCAGAAAGACTCCCTGGATGCTGTGAAAAAATACTTCAACAGGATCACTGCCTACCTGATAGAGAAGAAACACAGTCCCTGTGCCTGGGAGGTGGTGAGAGCAGAAGTCTGGTCAGCCCTGTCTTCCTCAGCCAAGTTGCTGGCAAGATTGAGTGAGAAGAAGGAGTGAGTCCTGAGCCAAAGTGGAGAGGAGTATCCTGGACTAGGACCCTGCACCTCACTGGGCAGATTCTGCCATCTAAAAAAATCTCAGACATTTTGGCATGAACTGACTCCACCTGCCTAGGTGCTTCAGTAGCAATGAATAATAGTGTGCCTTGCTCTAAGATATTTGTTTTCATCTATTCAAATTTATTTATTTATTCATTTATTTATCTCATTTAACTTACTATTATAATTTCATACAGCTTTATATTTTTTGAGTTAGCCAAGACTTTAGTAGCACTTTATTTTCTTTGTTCTATAAATTATTGTGAAATGAATCTGCTTTGCCTTTTTTATTCTTTACATGTTTCAAAGACATTTATTTCTTCATCTGTTTGGGCATGTCTACATATATAGGTTTTTATTCATTTTACTATTCACATAATATTATTTATTTAAGCTAAATCTGTCAGGTTTATATTGTCTTTACTGTAGGGAATCATCAGATTTAATTAAAGTATTGTGTATTCAATTTGAATTTGCTGTATAAAACACTTTAGATTGTTTATTCTCTTTTTTATTTTTCCAATGTTTTTCATCTTATATTCGTCTTCATAAAAATTATACTTTAAAATACCAATATCCTCTCTCAGTTTCATGGGTTTGTCTCCTAGTCTACCTCCTCCTCTTCCTCTCCCTTTTCCTAATTCTCCTTCTTAGTCCTTCTAGCTGTGCATGCACACAGGACCTTTGATGGAGGGGTTACTTTCATTTAATAAAGAAACTGCCTTGGCCCATTTGATAGGCCAACCCATAGGTGGGTGGAGTAGACAGAACAAAATGCTGGGAAAAAGAAGCAGATTCAGAGAGTCACCATGATTCTCCCCCCCCCCCTCGGATACAGACGCAGGTTAAGATCTTCCCTGGTAAGCCACCTCATGGGCTACACAGATTATTAGAAATGGGTTAGATCACTATATAAGAGCTAGCCAATAAGAGGTTATAACGAATGGGCCAGGCAGTGTTTAAATTAATACAGTTTTCGTGTAATTATTTCGGGTAAAGCTAGCCAGGTGGCGGGACGCAGCCCGCCGCACCTACAACAGACCTTCTCCTGGGGCTTACCTTAGGTAGCCTCTCTCTGGTGCCCCAACCCTGAGGACAACTAAATCTCTTTCTCAGCAGCCACCAGTTGCCATAGTTGCTCATCTACAAGTGGAATTTCCTGTGTTTTCCAAGCTGGGATGCTGTCTGGCTTGGTCTTGTTCATTCAGTCTCAGCCACTCTCAGTTCATCTGTGCAGCTCCCGTGCTGGTCCAAGAACACTGCTTTGCTGCAGTCATGCACGGCCTCTGGCTCTTACAATCCTTCTGCTCCCTTTTCTGCAATGATGCTCAGGGCCAGGAAGTCAGCCCTGTATTTTCTACTCTGTGACCACTTGTTGGTTTCTGCGTTCATTGCCATCTGCTGCAGGAGGCTCCTGTGGTAGGGGTAGTAATCCCGCAGTAACACTCTCTTAGACACATGCTGTAATCTGAAATCAGGTGTGGTGACATTACCAATACAGCACTGCCTTTGTTCTTTGGTATCGTCATGGTTCCGTGCGCTTCAAAAATGATATTTCTAGGAGAAACATAATTTAAAATCTGATTTGCATTTTGTGGTGGTTTGAATAGGAATGCCCCCCCAGACTCATGTGTTTGAATGCTTGGCCCACTGCATCTTTGTCGTAGTATGTGTGGCTTTGCTGTAGGAAGTGTGTCACTGTGGATATTGGCTTTGCGGTATTACACACCCTAGCTTGGCCTAGTGTGGCAGTCTCCTTCTGCTCCCTGTGGATCAAGATTCTCAGCTCCTCCAGTAATATGTCTGCCTGCCCGCTGTCCTGTTTTTCACCGTTTTGATAACGGACTACACCCTGAAACTGTAAGCTACTGCAATGAAATGCTTTTCTTTACAAGAGCTGCTGTGGTCACGGCATCTCTACACAGAATTCCCTTGGGAACATAGTCACTTTCATAATGTCATTGCGTTTAATCAACATAGATTGTCCCCCCAAATCTTAGTGGCTAATTATGTTGTCGCTGTCTCACTTGGGTGATTTGCCAGTTCCTTTCCTCATCTTTCATTTCCAATGACATCATCATTTTGGTTCATTGCCACAAACCAGCATCAGGGTTTTCTTGCTACGACAGTAGAAAAGGGAAATCAACCAGATGTGCTGACTCCTATAATCAAACCAACACCTCAACGACAGACAAAAAGAGTTAATGGAAAATTATAGACATTTGTAGCACTGAAAACTTTTGCCATCTGATAAAATAGCCTGAACATCTCTACGAATGTGTCTAGCTACAGAACTGAAGCTTAATCACTGAAATCAAAACTCAATAAGGAATTGATGGCTTACAAATACAAGGCATCAGTGTCCTAGACCAACACTGAGAGTGGCAGTACATAGAAACATATGCATTACACACAATGCACTGTTTAACGGCAGCACATACTATATATAATATCACACATACGTGTGCACACAGCTTTCTTTCTGATGCACTTCCAGTGCCTCCCTGCTTTCCAGACCCAAATTTTTAGCCTCGTAGCCCTGGTTTCCTGCTCCCTGATGTGGAAAGCCCCAGTGTGTGCTCCTCATTCTGTCCTCATTCACCACCTCTGCTCACTGCACAACTGATTTCTATTATGTCCATTATTAATATTCTGGAAATGCTCAACCACCAGTTGAAAGCAAAAAAATGAAATAATTCAAGGTTTGTAGAAAGCTCTCACATGAGAACCCCTACTGGTCATCACTTAAAAAAACACAGAGTTTAACTTAACTGTTCTCTGAAGAAATTTGTTTTCTAGATTTTTTCTCCACAGCCAAATGGGATTCGCCCATAAGAACTGACTTCAGTTTGAAAAACTCAATTCCCTTCACTTCTCATCTGAGGGAGGGAGCTTCCTCCCAGGTCCACGCGGGTCATGTCTTCTGGACAATGGAGAGCTCAATGTGCACAAAATGGTTACTGAGAGTTGTTTATCCCTCTAACCTTCTGAAGAAGGAGGGGTCTGTGTGTAGTCCCCTTACTAGCTGTTTACAACCGAGCTCTGTGTGTGACGTCACATCATTCGGAGCAGGGGGTAAAGCATTTGGGATGCGTCGTGAAGCTGAGCACACCATGCCCTAGCTAGGAATGCTGGAACACAGTGTCTGAGCCTCAGAAGAGCTGCCCTGCTCTCCCCGTGCTGCTCTGCCTATGAGACGGGCAACAATGGGTTTGGTAAATGCTCTGATTTATGACTGTCTTGATGCGTGACTTTCAAAAGTTTAAACAACTTTACCATGGTAGAACGTGCAACCTGAACCTATGTATAGACCATAGTACAGTCACCCTTAATTGGTGCAGAATAAACTGGTTCTCATTCCTGCTGGAGCAAGCTCTATGTTTAACAGGGGTAGTTCAACAGCCCAGAGCATCTTGACTCATCAGTCTCTTTGGGTTTTGTATATGTGGAGAGAGGAAGACAACATCCATCTTCAGGTACAACTGCCAGGGAAACCCTTGAGTTTCAACTCCATATGTCTATACCCAAATCCCCATGTCTACCCCTCAACCCTTCAACATCTCCACCAAATAAATCCCCCACAAAAAGTGAAAACAAAATGAAACAAACCTCTTAATCTGCCGTCTTTCCCTCCTCTCCAGCACCTCTTATTTCACCTAATGGCACTGGGAGATTCAGTGTGTCACACAGTATACACTTTTGCACAATAAACCTCACCCTCAAATATTTATTGCAAGGAGTCATTGGTCTTGTTGAAGGTCTCTGGCCTCTGGTACATCATCATTACTAGACCATATGATGATATCCCTTGGATATCCTGCTGTTGCCCCAACTCAGTCCTGGAGACCTTGTGGCTATTGTCCTGCAAGACCAGCCCTCTCACATGCTCCAGGTCATAAATGGGGTAGATGTTAGGGTGGGCCAACCCAAGGGCCAGGATGTAAGGTCCCCATTTTGGGCTGCTGGACCGCCCTCACTCCTCAGATGAGAGGCAGAGCCAGCTAGCTCTTCTCCACCAATGCCATTGAGTCCAGTTCTCCCATTCCCATGGTAAAGGATGGAGCCATCTCTTTCAAGTGAGCTCTCTCATGAGAAACCTGGCCAATTCCCCTACTGCAGTGTTCAGTGAGGGATAGGGCCAGCTATCCCAGGGTCAATTGAAGGGGAAAAGGCCAGAAAAAAAAACACTACTTTCCTGGCCCTGAAACCAGAGCCAGTGAAAAAAACCCACCCTGATTCTGAGATCCAAACAGAAAGAAATGATTATTCCTGAATCCAGAATCAAAGGAATACACCCTGACCCTGAAACCAGTGCCAAAGAAATACACTTTGGCCCTAGAATCAGTCAGTGAGAGAAATGTGTCCTGGTTCAAAAACTAGAGCCAAAAAACTAAAAAGGCCAGTGAAAGAAACACAGTTTGGCCCTGAAAACAGAGTAAAATTTACCTCTGATTAACCAAGCAGAAAACCAGCTAATACTTGTACAGGGAAAAGAACCAATCTCTGAGCAGAAAATCAACAAACCCTGAGCTAGGTTTGTTGTCAAAATCTAGATAATCTGAGCTCAAGGGACTGAAATCTGACCAACTGCCACCCTGCAAATCTTCTCCCTGGAAAATCTCTGCCCCAGAGATGCTCTATATAAGCCTTGTGCCTGTTCAGTTAGTGGCTGCCCTTTTTCTACCCTGGCGGAGACAGTCATTCTCCAGGATTCTTCCCTTCCAATAAATCTCTTGAAAGAGGCTTGGGTGAGACCTTTTTCTGGAGGAGAGACAGGACCAAGCTGAGCGAGGCTGTAACACTTTCACTGGGGAGGATTTCCCATAGCAGTGCCAAGTTGTTACAACTTGACTTGTAGCCATATCATAATGCAAAAATGAATTCAGCCCGACTTCAAAAGTCCCATCCCCATAGTCTGTAACTGTTTCACACTTATTTAAAAGTCTTAAGCTTAAAGTC